AACAAGCGAACGGGCAAATTCGAGTCCAACGGCGGCTGGCGACAGCGAAAAGCGCGTCAAGCGCTTAACACCAATGTGGACGAGCTGGGCAGACCCATGCAAAAGGTGGCACTGCTCTGCGGTCCCCCCGGTCTGGGCAAGACCACACTGGCTCACACAATTGCCCGGCATGCCGGTTACAATGTGCGCGAAATAAATGCCTCCGATGATCGCAGTCCCGAGGCCTTCAAGTTAGCCCTGGAGAACGGCACACAAATGTCGTCGGTGCTGAACGAGGACAAGCGACCCAATTGCATTGTGCTGGGTAAGAAGAGGCTGCTCCTGCCACAAAGTAAATTTGTCATCCTATTCTCTATTCAGATGAGATTGACGGCGCACCGCGTCAGTCCATTGAGTATCTGGTCAAATTCGTCAGCGATGGCATCTTCAGCAAGGCCAAGTCCAAAGGCGCCAAGGCGGAGCACAATGTGCTGCGTCGTCCCATCATCTGCATTTGCAACGACATCTATGATCCCGCCCTGCGACCACTGCGTCAAATTGCATTCGTAGTCAGCTTTCCGCCCATCGATGCTGCGCGTCTAGCCGAGCGGTAGGCGGTGCAGATTAGCCAAATGATTGCCTAAACTCAATTGAATTTTCTTTGCACTTTGCAGACTGCTACAAATCGCGCACAAGGAGCACTTGAAAACGGACTTTGGCGCACTCATCGCTTTGGCTGAGAAATCGGGCAACGATGTGCGCAGCTGCATCTCAACCATGCAATTCTTTAAGTAAGTTAAGAGGAAATAATGAGAACTGAGATAGAGAAGTGGGAGCAAGACTACATCGATAGAGTGCATTAGACTAAGCATGTAAATAACTGGTAGATCAAAAGAGCCTGAAGAAAGAGAGCGATAGTAAATTAGACCATATATAAGTAAAGCTGGTAGATGAAGAAAACTGAGAAGGGTAAGTGAGGTAAGCAATAAATCGAAACAGCTGTGAATAGTAGGTTAGAGGCTATTATAATTAGCATCATATTGTTTTGTAGGTAAATTCAAATATAATTTTATTTTTTTAATTTTATTTATCTTATTTAATATTCATTTAATATACCCACAAATTCATTTTAATAATCTTAATATTTTGCAGCGCCCAAAAACATTGCCTAACGCTTCAGGATGTGCTCAACAACAATCTGGGCCAGAAGGATCGGCATCAAGGTCTGTTCGATGTGTGGGGCGCTATATTTAGGGTGAGTTTAAAAAAAAACCTTCTAGATTCATAAATAATTGTAATTTTAATTTATATATTTATATATGAGTTGAATGATTTCAGTTTGATTGCTAGAATAACTTAGTTGAAAGCTAAAGACGAATCAATGGGTATAGGGCAGTCTTCCAAGCAACGAGGCTTGACAGTGAGAGAGTCGTTTCGTTAGAGAGTGGCGCAGTGCTCATCATGTGAGTAGCCGAAGTGATTCGCAGAGGAGAACTGCTAGTAGTAAGCAGTTCGGTTGGTATATTCTTGTAAGAGAGCCGAAATCTGAATTGCCTACTGGACGTGCATCTGGTTAACTCTCATCTCTCACATATACATACTGATATCGCTTAGGCTAGTCTCAGTTGGCAACTCAGTTGAGTATTTTCTTTGACATACAGCTTACAGAAAGTGCATTAAATGCTTTATGAGAAGCCCCCAATACTCTCTGACTCAAATATATTCTAAGTCAATATTTCTATTTTTCAATTCAGCTTAAAATTCATATGTATATAAAGGCGAATCGAGGAGACATTCACACTTATGGTATATACAAAAGCAACTATAAGCCAAGCTATATACATGTACCTCGTTTATTCACAGATTCAACGACCAAAGAAGCAGCTGCAACAAAGCAGCTCGAACAATGCTGAGGAAGCTGCTCAGGTGACCATGACGAACATGTCCGTGGCAACGCGAGTGCGCAATGTGCTCGACGTGGTGCACTCCAGCGGCGATTACGAAAGGTGCGCAGTCATATGAATACCCTCTGCAAAAATAACAAAAATCAAAAGAAGGCGCAAACAAAATCCAAATCATTTGAAATTCTTTTAGGCTCACTCAAGGCGTCTATGAGAACTATTTGCAGCAACGGATGCCAGATCCGAATTTTACGGGCATCTGCGAGGCGCTGCAATGGTTTTGCTTCTCGGACGCGCTGCAGCATCAAATCGCACGGCAGCAGAACTACAGCATCTATCCATATTTGCAGTACGGGTTTGTGGTCTGGCATTTGCTCTTTGCCACACTGGCCTGGCCGAAAATTGCATTTCCCACGCGTGGCTTTGAGGTAGGCAAACGTTGATGGCTGGCGCTGGGCCTCGGGTCGCATCATTTCTTTTCATTTTGGCATGTAAGCAGTGGACTCTTTGAGGCTGCCTCATGTATTATGCAATCCTCATTAGCTGGGGCAAACAAGCCTGGCGAGGGCCACAGAAAAGTGCATAATCAACACAATCAAGCCTTGTAATTTCTTGTGCATTATGTGGCTCAAATGCAATCACAAGATTAATGAGAGTTCTGCATAGATTTCGCACTGTTTACACTGGCCCCCATTCACTTGCTCTCCCAGACTTATTCTCTCTCTCTCTCTCTCTCTCTCTCTCTCTCTCTCTCTCTCTCTTTTTAGTTCAATCAAAAGTCTATGAACCAGCGCAACATCTTTCAAGCACTGCGCAAAGGCATTACCACATCTGCTCAGGGCGTGGGCCAAGGCAACATTCTGCTGCTGGATACGGTGCCGCTGCTGAAGCGCATTCTCTCGCCACAGCTGCGCTCCGTGGCTGTTCAACTGTTATCCCAGAAGTGAGTATGCGGTGGGAGGAGCCAACAAATATATTGTTAGCTTCAGGGAGCATAGACTGCACGAAGGAGAACCAGCGGCTATCGAGAGAGTCGTTTGAAGTTGTCTGAGTAGATTATGTAGTTCAAACATGATTGATATGACAGTCAGTTCATATGGAAAGCTAGTCAATACCAATATTGGAGTTAGACTTAAACTAAGTCAATTTGTAGTTCATGAGAACTTATTTTAAGGAGGAAGTATAGCGTTCTGTGAAGACTGAAGACGATCTCTCGAGAAGTTTTCCCCTTTATATGTTTTAAAATGATAGATTCGTCTAAGTTTCATTAGAGTTAATAAAAATGCAAATTAAAATTTTTAAACGACGTCATTTGTAGGTCATTGGAACCTCAGAGATGAACTTGAGATTTCAATTAACTATTTGATGTGGTTCAAAATGCTATAACAAACATATTTGCCTTGTCTGAATTAATCAAAATTCAAATTACAATTTAATTACAAAACAACCATTAATTCATAATTTTCCCCTCAGAGAACAATACGATCTGCGTCACACGATTCAAGTGATGGTTGATCTTGGGCTGACCTTCGTCCAAGTCAAATCGGCGGAGGGCCATTATGTGTTTCAAACCGAACCGGACTTGGATACGCTGTGTAGCTTTCCAGGTGAAGTCATTGGCACAGCTGTGCTTAGCCGCTTTATCAATGCATTAATGTGCTGTGTATATTATAGGTTTTCCTGGACTGACGCTGCCCTACTTCAGTCGCCAGCTGATAGCACGCGAGGTGGATCTGGAGCGCATACGACGCGCCGCGCCCAAAGGCGGCTCAGCGGACAATGCAACAACAAAGAGCGCAGCAGCAGGGGCAACTGGAACGCCTGGCTCGAAGCAAAAGGCGGTTGCAGCGCGTCTGCCAAATCATTTGCAAACATTGAAGCCAAAGCAAATAAGCGACGTCAATGCGCCGCCCAAGCAGCAGGTGAGCCGTCGCGGCTTTTCACATATTTCGGGCAATTTGCATGCCTTGCATTTACTTAGCAGCAATTCTGTTGCAAATTTTTTCGTGGCGCAGCTTTTTGAAATTTAGCTCTACCCAAATTGCCACAGCCACTCATCCGCAAATCCGCCTTCGACTTAGGGTCCTTCCGTCGCGCTGCTGCTGCCGCAAATCCTGTAAAAGCTAATAACCCATAAGGGGATTCGGCTGCCCATTGTCTTCGGGGTCGTAATGTGGGATCAGCGCAAACGAACATTTATTGCCAATCCTAAACGAAAGCGACTGCCAGCAACAACAACAACAACAGCAACAACAAAATGTCCTCATTCATTGGGGTTGTGTATTTGTTTAGGGGTTGTTTTACGCCAATTCTCTTCATTTCTCTCACTTAGAGCTGAAGCTTTTCTTTCTGATTATATGGCAAATTTCATTTCATTTTTGCATACTCTTTGTTTCTCTTACATTATTATTATTTAATTATGAATTTCTTGTATTTTTCAACAGCTTACGAAAGACTTCTTTGGGCGCGTTACGCACAAGACAACAGCAGCAGCGGCAGCCGAGGAAGGTAGGCTAATGGCTTTTGTAGCTCCAGCAGTAATTATATATTGAAATGTTGTTTTACAGTTAAAACTGATGCAATTGTTAAGAGCCCCATATGGTATCGCTATAAGGAGGGCTTCAACAATGCTGTGCGGAAGGATGTGCATCTAAATGAATTGCTTTAAGCAATAATTATTTCAGTTGATTATTGTTACACTTACTATTATAAATATATTTATTAGTTAGCTGATAACGAATGTGTGCTCTTAATAACATTTCAATTTGTGCTTTGATCAGCTAAATTGTAATATTCAATACAAACGAACAATATTTAAAGCTATGTTGAGATCGTATATACGCAAATTTTATTTGGAATATTTTTGAAGCCTGAAAGACAACTTTGTATTAAAAGAGATAGACAGAAGGATATAAATCAATTAGACATATTCTCATATTTTCGGAATTTTATTATATGCTAAATTTTAAAAAATAATCGTGACGTAGCAGATCTTTCGCTTGATTCTCAAAGCACTTTCACTCTCTTCTCTTGTTCTCTTATTCTGAATAACTTTGCACAATTCACAATGAGTCTTTAGCCACGTTCTATATGTATGTGGGTCCAGAGATCTTTGACATCCATCCATTGGGGCACACAATCTAGAGTCACACTCGTCCCCTTTTGGCATAGAACTGTCGCATGGCATTGCTTATCGCATCCGTGGGCTATCGGCAGCTTTCAGTGTGTGTGTGTGTGTGTGTGAGGTGTTGCCGCTGTCAAGTTTGGCGTTGCTCTGGCAACACTTACTCACTCACTCAGTGGTTCGCTCAGTTGTCAGCGGGTGGTTCTGCGCTATATACTATCAGCGAGATGACGATGATGAAGCCTTTGTTGTTGCTGCTGCTGCTCGGCTTGCTGGGATTTGCTGAGATTGAGACACGCTATGTGCCCGGCATACCAAGTGAGTAGATGATAGAGAAAGAGAGAGAGGGAGAGAGAGAGAGAGAGTAGAAGTGCATCCACTAATTGATTTTGTATTTGTTGCAGACATTTGCCTAAAGCCGCCGCCCTTCTCTGAGGGCATGTGCACCATTGAGATCGAGGGCTTTTACTACGATCCGGCCACGCTAGACTGCCAGATGTACTCGATAGGGGCTTGCCGTCTGACGCCCGGCCAGAGCTTCGGCAGCCTGGAGGACTGCGTGGCGACCTGTGTGCTGGGCAAGCGTCGCAGTCCCGATTACTATAGAAATGAATGAGATGTTGATACGAATAAAGCGCATTATAATAAACCTCTCTCTCTAGTATAACAACAAACTGCGTCTGATTTGAATCGGGACCCGGTGTTAATCACCGCCCTGACCCGTGACGTAATTGTTTATTTCCAATGAACATCTGAAACGTGCTTGACTTTGTCTTCTTGTGGCATGTTCCAAGCAGCAGCAGCCAAATTAGTTGCCTTACTTAGTTGAGGCTCGAGCCATGCTTGCGTCAGCTGTCAGTGCGCTAACTCGAATGGGGGTATTGTAGTTTGATCGTCTAAATGGCTGCGAATGGAGAGATTACTCAACTTAAAACTAGACGTATATATTTGAAATGTAGGGTAAATTATAATAATTTATATAGTTTATTGTTAATAATATCAGTGAATTTTAAATCTGTTTTCATTATAGTTAAGAATTCAGTTGAAAATCGAATTTGAGGCATTATGAAAACTCGTTAAAATAATATCGGAAGCAATGGACAAAATTTTGAAATAATAGTTAGATTTAAAAATTTTGTGAATTAAAAAATATTAATACTATTAAAAAGAAAACTGGTATAAAAAAAAAAAAGAAAAAAAAAAACATTTAATAATTGACAACGATTTTCAGCGATTTTAAATATTTCATAAATATTTTCAGGAAAGCGAAATGACAGTGATTTGAAAATATTTTATATACATAAATATATTTAATATTTATTGAATACTTATAATATTTTCAAATAGTATGAATGTACACATATATATTTAAAAAAAGAAAATTTTTTTTTCAGTTGATACGAAAATTCTTTAAAATATATTTAAAATTTTTTTTTTGATTTATATATATATATTTATTTATTAATTTATATGAGACACGTTATTTGTATTCAATTTACGGTATACATATTTAGAAATAAAATAATATAATTATAAAATATTTTTAGTTTACTTTATTGTTGTCGAAATGCAAAAAACTAGATCCTTAAAGTTCCATTATTTGAGAAATTGTGTTTCCATATCTCCTCATTTATAGGAACTCATTCAATTATTCTCAGTTAAAGTAAGTGTATTGAAAGCGAAACAGATTAATTTCAAAGAAAAACTTAGTAAGTGCTTCGTGCTTCGTTGTTAGTCAGCCCTGGCCCTGGATAGTGGATCGGCCTTCTGCAACAAGCTTTCGCTAGTTTTAGCTGGAATCCCAACCCCCAAGCGGCGGTCCCCAGACTCGAATGCTCGCCAGCTCCATGCATATTATCAACAACGCACATGCAGGCAGCGAGACATCGCAGACTCTGTCACATTGTTGTTGTTGGCGTTGGTGTTGTTGTAGTGCTGTTATCAGTCAACGACAGCGTCAGCAGCGGCTATTGGCAGAGCGCAACCTGATTACGAATCTGTTCGCCTTTTGTTCGAGGTTTCGAGTCGAGTTTGCGACAGCAGAAAAGCAATAGCTCAGCCAGCGATCAAATGTGGCGCAAGACCCATTTCAATATACATACCCAAACATTGTGAATTCATGCCAGAGAATCGTTCTATATAGCTCAAAGTTGACCGGAACAAGTCGTATAAACGTTAATCTGCAAGTGTGTCAAAAGATTCTCTTTGTGTCTGTGTGTGTGTGTGTGTAGAATTTTCGGCTCAATTCGGTTGTCTCTGTGCGCTGTGCGCTGAACTTCTCATTGTCGCGTATTAAAAAACTCATAAATTGCACAAGAAGACGAGAAGGCATATCAATAGATCGTCATATACTATACAACTGCTGCGCTTCAATATATGGCGAAAGGCAGCTGCCTCTGCTGCGCATTTGTCTACAACTTCGTCGCAGCGACAGTCGACAGGGAATCTATGGAAATACAGATGATAACTGTGCCAGCCGCACTACAGAGCTGAATTCGCCAGGAGCTAAGCAGGCAGAGCAACAAGAGCACTCGAAATATATCTCAAACATTATTCCGCAAATCGACTCAGCTTCAGCTTCAGCATTGGCAAAATGAACGCCCCGACAAGGAGCAGACAAATCTCGCTGCTGCTGCTGCTGCTGGCCGTGTGCCTCGAGTGGCAGATGGCTGTGGCGCGCACACGTAAGTCTCAGCTAGCTAACGCACTCGCACTCTATTATGTATCCATGTCTCACTTGAGTTTGTCGCGCAGGTGATTTGTGCCAGGTGAAGCCCACGACGAGCGGCCTGTGCGTGCCCACCACGGTGGGCATCTACTATGATGTGGAGACGCAGCGCTGCCACTTCATGGGCTGCAGCAATAAGCGACTCTTCGGCTCGCTGGAGGACTGCGAGAAGATCTGCAATAATGCGCGACACGTCAAGCTGCGCAATAACTCGGCCAACAAAAGCAATCAAACCACAAATTGAATATAAGCACTAGCAATAGCACTAGCACTAGCTCTAGTTCTTATTAACATCAATCATCATCAGTCAACAACAACAACAACAACAACACTAATTCGGCCAACAGTTATCAGACATCACGACAGGCATACTCGCAGACGGCCTTGCTGTCGAAACGATTCTCGTTGCCGCCGCAGCCGCCGTAGATGAAGGCCTCGCAGCGCCGTTCGAGCGGATTGTAGGCGTAGCTCTCCACATAGCCAAAGCAACGACCGCTGACCATGGGCTGGAGGCACAGCTTGACTGTAACATGTTGCACATTAGTTGCCAATTGATGGACGGCCAGCTCTTTTAGCCTTACCACGTTTCGAGGCGCCATCGACGTCACCTATTTGCAGGAGCAGCACCGGGATCAACAGCAACAACAGCCGGAGCAACTGCCATAGCCCAGGCATTACGTACAACCGACTCGTTCTTGGGTTAACAACTTACTAAGCGCGCTTCGACAATTGTTTGTTGTTTCTTTCTTCTCTTTTTTTTTCAAATATATCTTTTGCCTAGGCAAGATTCAACATTGACCAATTTAAGTGCCAAGTCGGTCATAGCAACAGCCAACTCACCTACTTCATTGCAAAACAAATGCGAACTGTACTTTTTAAGCAACAAACATTGTTTGCTCTAGCTTTAGCTTAGATCATCTATTTATTTTATACACTACGATTAGATTACACTTTATATTGATGTATATAGTATATAAGGTTCATAAGTTCTAATTTGTGGCCATATTAGCTTATAATATTAAATATCATGTATATAGCAGGTGATCAGTCTTTTCTTTCAAATTTGTTCAAAAAATTGTTTCGCAATTTTAGCAGATTTCTTAAGACTAGCTGTAAAATATTGCTATATTGCTATACAATAATTTTTGTAAATATTGTGTATTTGAGTTGCATATTTATAATTGTTTTATATTTATAGGCAAAATAAATTTTTGTATTTCTGGGAATAGTCGCTGACAATTGCCAGTTTTCATTGGCTTGCCTATAGTTCAAGAGTTCATAAATTTGCGTTTATAACAATTATATAATCTAAATGCTATAACTAAAATATGGAATGATAATCTGGAAGTACTATTTCAACTTTGACTGCATTGCGTATAGATTCGACTAACAATAATTCTGATTAAAATAATAGCAAAATCTTACAGCAAAAATATACACATAATAAAATGTGCAAGTGTTTAGCTTGTGTAAAAAAAAAGAAAAAAACAAAAAACAAGAAAACTTAAAAAAAAAAAATATATATATACATATATAAAACATAATATGATAATAAATACGTTAAAAATTTTATTTAACAAAAAAACAATAAAGTTATAAAATATGTATGTAATATTAAAATAAATTAATTTTAATAAAAAAAAAAAAAAAGTAGAAAATGTTAATATAACGGATATTAAAGAAAAATTACAATTGTATGTACAAATAATTGTTTGAAAAGTGTTAATATTAAATAATATTATATATTACTGTTTATAAATGTGTAAATTATTCACTTTGAGCAACCATATAACTTCAAATTAAAATATATTTACCTTACACAAAAATGCGATTGAGTTCTCATACCTGTGACTCCTTTGAAAATCACGTGGAAAAGTATTTTCATACAAATATAGAGCCGTTAATATATACCTCTCGGTATATATGTAGTTATTCACATATTTCTCTCATACATTATGCCAAGTAATATTATTTATGATATTTCAACAGTCTTTTCAATATCTAAATCTAAATTTATTATCAAAATTTAATTGTATCTCAGCTCCGGTAGTTACTAAGAGGCTCAGCCCACCGACTAATACCCTACGTTCATAACACTTATAGTCGTTGCTCACACGAAATGACGTAAAACTTTTGCAGTGGCAACAAAACACAAACATGTTCCGCATATCAATGGCAACAGCTGCGACTACAACAACAACAACAACAGCAACAGCGTGAGCTACAGATACAGATACAACAAATTGAAGTTGATTTTGCTGGTGGAATTTCCAATACATTTGCGAAAAAAAATAAATAAAAACGAATACCAAAACAGAACTAGCTGGGCTTTCAGTTTCAACTGAAGTTGTTTACGCGCTGCATGCATATGCTAATTGAGATACGCTTGGGACTTTGGCCAAAGCACACAGGCAGCTGTATGAGTAAGTTAATTGAGTGAAGTAATGGGAGAGCGAGATAGAATGAGAGATGGAGAGTTGGCTTAGCTGCAGCTCTCAATTTCGAAGAGTGTCTAATTTAGTAATTAAACGCAGTTTGGGATGACGAGCAGCGCAATTAATGTGTCTCGCCTGGGCAGCATTTCAATTATTTCGGGCAAATTAGACAGTTAACTGAATTGTCACCACACACACACACACACACACAGTGAGTGAGCGAGACAGAGAGATAGACATCATTTCGGCCATTCAATCAGCCAAATTTTCGTGTGCCACCCACGCTCCACATATGTTTTGGTGTGTTCAGTTGGACTAATGAATAAATAGCATGACTGTTGACTGCACTCCATCATCATCATTATCATCGTCATCATCAGCATCGTCATGAGCAGCATCAGCATCGTTCCCATCGTCGTTGTGATTAGCAACATAGTTAAGTGCTAATTCAATTTGCCCTGTGCATTAACACCTAGCTAACGTTTTTGCCCAGCCCTTGTCCGCTTACCCCTACCTCGCCCACGCCCACATCTTTAGGGGCTCTGAGTCAGTCTAATTATTAGCAACTGTCCCACTGACAAATGCATTATTAATGTGCCCTGCAAAGTGCAACGCTTGAATCCTACTTAAACTTAGTAATTGATGCCAAGCACGTGACTTACACCGAAGACACGAATTTCTTATGCAAATTACCGTATTGCCCCGGAAATTCTAAGTATTTCATTTCTCATTTGCTTCTAATATGCTTGTGTGTGTGTGTGTGTGTTTCAAAAACATCAAGTGATAGCTGTAAAATGTTTATTGCGTCATAAATTGCCTCAAAATAAATGGGGCGCTGCAAGAGTAGTCGACCAATGAGTTACCATGCAATCAATATTTTTCGGACTCATAAAATAATATATGTATACGCTCCTTTGGGGTGTGGTCAATTAAGGAACCCTTGCAGTGAAATGCTGTTGATCTCTGTTTCAGATCATTCAAATTTTATATATATACATATTCATAAAAACACAATTTAGCCATAATAAAAATTCTATTTAATTTTTTAATATTATTAAAAATCTTAACAAAAATGAGTTTAATTTGCTTTTATGTTTATCAAAGTCGGCGACAAAGTATTTCGACATATTATTTTAATATATGAAATACTATATACTATGAATGAATTTATATATAATAATATAATTTTAATTAATTTCATATATAATAATATAATATATTATGCATTGCAAATTTGATAGCTGTAGATTTTCTACACCTGTTTACAATATTTTTATATATAATAATAATGAGTATATACATACGCGTATATATTTACATATATGTATATACCTAGGCGCGCGTGTGTGTAAATTTGATAATTAAGCTAGTTTGTGCTCAACACTTCGTATGCGCAATTTGAGCTGAACGCCTCGCTTAACACACACACACACATACACAGTGCTTACATATAAAAATATATATTTTATGTTTTTCAAAAAGCTTGCCAGACAGCTTTGCGCACAAAAAATAGAAGATTCAGTTGTTGTTTGCAGTTATTAACGCGCAGTTATCAGCGATTACATTGAGAATGAAACGAGTGTTGGGAATGACCCAATTTCTGTGCTTGGCCGCAATTGTTTTGCTCGGCCTCACACAGCTGGCTGAGGCGGTGACCACGGCCAAGCCCAAGCCGCTGGCACAGGCCCAGCCACAGGCGGTTGGCCCCAGCAGCACCACCACAGCCAGGCCAAAGCCAACGCAGCCACAACGCCAGCAAGGTAGAGTCTGAAGGAAATTCCTAGATTACTCGTTGATTTCTTATGTTTCGAAATTTGTGACAGATGCGAAATGCCTGCAGCCTCTGGAAACGGGTCCTTGTCGCATGAGCCTGGAGCGCTATTACTACAATAAGGAGAAGAACAGCTGTGAGACATTCAAGTACGGCGGCTGCAGGGGCAACGACAATCGCTGGGGCTTCCGACAGACCTGCGAGGAGGCGTGCCTGGTCAAGAAGTGACTCAAGTTCTATGAATCAACAATAATGCCACGGTCTATGTATACCAAATAAAAGATCCATCTAACGTTTGTTTATATCATTTTCCACGATCTACTTTGCGGTCAATTACCATACTGAATATGCTGACCAAATATTAAACGTATTCTGTGTGAATTCTCAGTTAGTAAACAAAATGTTCCGCCTGTTGCTTAATTTAGCCGGAAAGCCGTATTTGTGCTTATCGTTAACTGTTCTCATAACCATTAGCGAATTCCGTGAAATATTGTGATAGTGGCTAAAACTGTTTATTTGACTTGAATTTAGCAGTGGAATTGCTATATTATATTGAGAGACTCCAAAGTTAGGGAGATGAAAAGTTATAGACAGGCATAAAATATATAAAGAAATAGAAAGAATTGGAAATAGGCTTATATTATAGATGAGCTTATGTTGGAAATGTTGCTTGGCAAGTGACAAGAATTATGTAGAAAGACTTAAATTTATGAGAATCTCAGAGAACGCACGATACATTCATATGTATACTTTTTCAAGCACCACCATGATCAAATACTACCACTAACAGTAGTCTGCTTAAACTCTTTTCTATGCCTTACTTGAGTTCATGAGAATCACAGAGAAGGCATGATTGTGAATACTGCTTCATGTGCCACAAACATCAACTACTACTATTGAAATTCAATTCCATCTCTTCCATGTCTTACTTGAATTCATAAGAATCCGATGGAAGGGATTTATTTACAGAAAATTGCTGGAAGATTTATATAATGATAAAAACATTTATAAACAATCGTTAATATATGCATGTGCTCTTCTCAACTTATGCATATTGACTGAGACAGATGCGTATCTGCATACAAATATGCAAATCATAGATACAGATATAAACAGATGCATAGAATTTATATGTATATAGATGATTCCGGAACTATCATATCGTTTTGACATTAGTTTAGTTTCCTGATTATGGTTGATATTTTGTATATGAAATTAAGTCTAAAACTATATAAACTGTATAGAAGCAAATATTGGTATTGGAAATGAAAAAAAAAAAATTTATAATAATAATTATAGCAAATATTGCGAAATCCATAAAAGATACAACAGTTTAAACAACACAATGAAATTCATTTGCGATAATTATTCCCTTGATTTTATTTGATGTGAATACTAGCTATTATTATTATTATTTTAAAATTCTATAAGTACAGATACTAATAATAGATACTAATCAATTATAAATTTATAAGATAAACATAAGAGGAAAAAAATAAAACAAGCTAATTAAATACATATAAAAACAAAACAAAAAAATTCGAAATGACAGTAATAAAATTGAATAAAAATGTATTTAATATCACATTAACTACTTTACATGAATACAACATTTTATATCCGCGATACTGATCGTCACGTCACTTGTGCCGTGACAATTGTTCATAACACGAAAACAAAGTGCGTCAAAGCAAATTGGGGAACTGGCGACAGCTGTGCGGAAGTAGCATATGATTTAGCTGGAGCTGAACTATCATAAAACTCTGAAATATTAATAGGTGCGTTGAACTGCAACTGAGGCAGGTGAGGACGTCAAGAACTGTCAGCGAGTCACTGTGATTTACATGCCTTGACGAATGACTCGAGCAAATAGGCTATGATAACGAAATTAACTACGGTTACGTGTTGATTCGTTTCGGCTTTCAGTATTTAAGGCTGGCTAAATGCCAGAGCTGGCATCATTCGCGGCTAAGAAACTGAAACGAAATGTGCTCCAAGCTGTCAATAATTGCGCTCACTGTAGTCCTGGGCGTCATGTGTGTACACAGCGCCGCTGTGGATCAGTCCCGGCTGGTGGTGGAGAAACAGGAGCCGGAGGGCCCGACAACGCAGCTACCGGCTGTGGACGAGGCCAGTGTGCCGGAGCAGTGCCACCAGCCCAAGGTGGCGGGTCGCTGCTTTGCCCTATTCTATCGCTTCGCCTACAATCTGGATACGCACGCCTGCGAGGAGTTCATCTACGGCGGCTGTGGCGGTAACAGCAACAACTTCAATTCCAAGGCGGAGTGTGAGGAGCTGTGCTTGGGCAAGGCAGAGACACCAGCAGAGACAAAAGCATCCGCGACTGAGCAGAGCCCAGAGCAGACTACGCAGCCACAGCAGTCGGCGGAGACGACAATCAGCGCAGTCGCCTAATGGGAAGCACCCGAATAGTCTCTATATATACATACATACGTATATATAGTATATAAGCTTTATACTCATAGTACTCGTCTACACTTATAGAAATCACGTCTCCTCTACACCGACCTACCCATATTTGTACAGCTCTAATGAGCATGAGTACTTAGCTCCAGGGCCGGCGTCTTCGGTTAGAGGGGGCGACAGTGTTAAAGTCAAATTTATGGGTAACGCCCAACTCGCAGATGAAAATATAAATAGTGATAATAATGAATAAATTGTCTTTATAATTATATATACAAAAAAAAAATATATATATATATTGTATATTATTTTTGTAGTTAATCTTAGCTGCCTCGGTCCTCTCCTACTATTTATTCACTTTTTTGCAGGCATTTGTTAATGAACCTTAACTTAATTTGTACACATGCCCACACACACACACACACACACACACAAACGAACTGATAGCTTCATTGAGCACGTATACCCACAGATTAGTATAAATCAGTGTGAGCTGCAGCAAACCAAATTAGTTGTTTCATCGAAGCCTTAAAAACTATAGAAAATGAAATTCGTGTCAGTACTTTGCGTATTCCTTGCTCTCTTTGGCCTATCCCTCGCTCTGAAGGATCGTAAGTTGCAGTGAGAAACTGATCCCGAGGAGCTCAGCTAATTTTTACTTCCTCCACAGCCATTTGCGAACTGCCGCCAGCAAGTGACGGCAACGGCCTGATTAAGTGCGCCGCCTTCATGCCCAGCTGGAGCTACTACCCCGAGGACAATGCATGCAAAAGCTTTGTCTATGGTGGCTGCGGCGGCAATTCAAATCGTTTCGGATCTCAAGAACTGTGCGAGTCCACGTGCAAGGAGTAGAATTACGTAAAGTTAATGCACTGATTAAATCAATTTGCTGTGTGAAATCATTGTATCTATTGGATTAGTATAAATCATTGTTAACGACGGAAAATTTAATTAGTGGCTCAAAACATCTTTAGAGGTTCTAGCTCTCTTCGCTCAGTATGTCACTCTAAAAAATCTTCAGTCTGTGTATGTGATCCAGAGTGACTCAATTAGCTTTGACATCGTCCTCGTACTCCTTGAAGATAATGCCAGTGCACAATGTTTGAAATCGTTTCGTTACTCTGGGACACTGCAGGTTACCTCAGATAAACTTGATGAGAAATCATATTTTCGCTGATGCTTAAAGACTACGAAGATTGTAAACGTAATTCATAATGAGTGGTTTATGCATGCATTTCTAGCTTAGTTACGCTCTGCAGAAAACCGAGTTTGGTCGAGGACCTAAAACCTGTAAAAATCAAATTCACCCCCATACGATTTTTGTTACTAAAATGAAAAGGTCCCTAGATAAACTGATATGAGGAAACTTATATGGTTATAGCGTCTTCCAAGTATAACGAGCCTTGAGCGTCGGCATAATCGGATTCTACGTATATCACACTATCAGTAGGAACTCAATATTGAAACACTCGCGGGTATCTAACCCTTTTTAAGAAGCGAATGACACCTCTGCGTTTCATTAATCAAGTTGACTTATTCATGTTATTAAATTTAATTAATGTAGTCCCACTCCTTGCACTTTGCCTCTCACTGGATTTCATGAGCGTTGTAGCTCCATCTACGAAGGCAAGGTAGTGATGTAAAAAATCATCGATGCATCGAGCAACGATGTTTTATTACCAATTTTAACGATTGTTTTCCGATGTTTTCGCTGATACCGATGTTGAACGAAGCATCGATGTTTTGCAAAACATCATCAAGCAACCTTTTGTCAATCAGAAGTACCTATCCTAATTTATTCATAATTGCAATCAAATTTTTCCCGTTGATGGCATCTTCTGTTCCCTCTAGAATAATATGTAATGAAAGCATATGATATATATCTTATATTAAAATTTTTAAAGTTAGGCCTTAAGCAAAATGCTGCTATGAAAGCTCAGTTTTATTTTTATATTTTTTTACGATTGTTAATTAATGTTGAATACTTTTAAGTTTTTTTTCTTTATTTATTTTTTAATAATAATAACGCCATGAGAGCAGCAGTAAACAAGTAAGAAGGCTCCAGTCGAGACTGCTCGACTAGGAGATACCCTGAACCCTCCAAACTGATATTCTAATCATTCTGGACTTCTTTTATGCACACATACATACACATGCACGTATAAGCACGCGCTCCGCAAACTGCGCAGCTAGCAGCGGCTGCGCTTGGGCTGCACTGCAGTGTGGGCAATATTATGAGAATTTATTTGTTGAATAATTTCTTTTGTAGACATACGATTCTAATGAAACTTTCAGAGCGTAATCATATGGCTAAAATGTGTGTACATTCCAAAGCACACGTCTCTAGTACTTGAAATGCGTTTTTTACAAATTGGGGGCGAAGGGGGCGTGGTATCCAAAATCTGTAAATTACAAAATCTTTGTATCTATTAACTTTATATACAACGCAAATTTGAAGTTTCCAGGTCTAAAAGTGTTCAAATTAAGCTGAAAAAACAATGTCGATTTTTCGATTATTCTCGATAAAAAAGTTATCGGATGAGTTATCGAAAAAATAAAGCAAACTTGTACTGCCTATGGTATACACGAGTATGCATGCCAAATTTCAGCTCTCTAGCTCTTATATCTTCTGAGATCCTTTTGCTCATACGGACGGACGGACGGACGGACGGACGGACGGACTGACGGACAGGGCTATATCGACTCAGCTCGTCGTCCTGATCAAGAATATATATACTTTATGGGGTCTGCGATGATTCCTTCTGCCTGTTACATACTTTTCACAAAACCATTATACCCTGATTTCCCATTTTCAATGGGTTCAGGGTATAAAAAGTAAAAAACCATAAAAAAAAAATACATCGATGCATCGAATTTTCAATCCAATGTATTAATCCAACATCGATGCTTGATTTTGAAAATATTAATGGACATCGACATCGATGTCTTCATTCAAATTTACAAAAGGCATGGCTGACAGGCTGAGGACGAATTAAAAGTTAGTGTAATCTCTCAGGATAAGTCGCTTAGACTTACCATTCCGCGGAGCAGCGAGGGATAGGCCAAATAGAGCGAGGAGTACACAAAGTGATGCTGCGAATTTCATTTTGTACAGGTTTTAGAGCAACTAACTCGACTTACTGGGAGCAGAAATATTTATAATACGTTATCTATGTATGTATTAGTTTATATATGAACTAAAACGAATCTAATTTTAAAATGCGTTTACATATTATTCAGCAAAACGACGAAGCAAAACTGTATCGAATTGACCTTAAGAAACTTTTTGCCACGCTTTTTGATTTATTTAGTGTATCAGTTTTTGGTTTAAGTAAATCTACTCCTTGCACTTTGCCTCGCACGGTTCCTGAGTTTCGAAACGATTTGATTGCTGGCTACATGTACTCAATGAAGCTTATCAGTAGTATCGTTTATGTGCGTGTGGTTGAGAGTTAATCAAGTTGAAATAGATTTTTTAATGTCTTCGAAACATATTCCAGAAATGAGCGAAATCCAATAGGAGTAGATCGAATCGAAGGCAGTTAAGATTTACTTAAATGCAATTTAAAAGACGAATCCAAGTCAATCTGTGGAATAAATCAGTTTTGCACTTGGGTCATTTTTCAACAAATGCATTTATTAATAGTTTTGTAATAATGAATCCATAACCTTTTTGATTTTTATAATTCACTAATGCGTGCTCCCATCATTTTTGTGTACCGTCGCACCTCTTCGGGAGGAAGCGCGTACAAAATGTGCTTAATCCCCTCCTACAGCTCTCTCTTTCCACTTAGAGGCTCCCATAATTTGCAGGCAGCGATTACATATCGATTATATTTGTTAATTATTAGTTAAATTTATTCTATTACTTACTTTTATTAGATTAGCTATAAAGCTTTGATTGGCATTGAATTTTTTGTCTGTGGTTGACCTTTCTGGAGAAATGCCCATGTATTACATCAAAACCTTGAGTCAAAACAATTTTACAATGTGTCCATTGTATAAAATATTATATTTATTCATAAATCAAAGGGGATCCAATTGAATTTAAAACAATTATTATTAATATTGTTTAACGTGGTTTAATGCTTGGCCACGATTTTTAGGGCTACAGACGCCTCCCACTTTTATTTAGTTTTGGGTTGCACAACCAAATATGCACTCATCCCTACTTCGGAAACCACTTTTATTAATTCCGCAGCCCCTAGAGACATATAAATTGCAATGATATTCGTCAGGATCGAACATCCAGGTGAAAAAGTACTTTTTGCATAATGAAACCGCAGTGAAATTTTTTGGTGGCTTCCTTTCACACTTCTGCTCTATCTCAGATGGAAGAAGATTTATAGCGAAGGTCAGGCCAAAGAGTATGAGGAATACGGAGTGAATTTCATTTTTAACGGTTTTTAGCACTCCAATCTAACAAATAACTTGGTTGGCTGCAGAGCAGAACTATTTATAATAAGCTAGGAATGCATGCATAAATCAAGGCAAATAAATAAGTGGATTAAGAATTGAATTGAAGACATTTAGTATGCATTACGTTTGACATGGTTTAATGTATTTTTAATGTCACGCTTTTTAGGGGCATAGATGCTTTCCATTTTCATTTATCATGGGTATTTGCAAGCCTTTAGGCAGTCTTTCCGACGTAGGAAACCATTGTGATTGGTTCCGCAACCAATATAGACATAAAACTTGCAATGGTGATCCCTAGGGTCGTACATCCAGATAGAGAGGATCATCTTGCATAAATCAACCGCGGTGTGGTTTCGTGCTGGCTTCGTGCTACACTTACGCAACAGGTCGCTCTCTGAATCAGTAGACTTCAAAGCGTAGGTTAGTCCAAGGAGAGCGAGGCATACGTAAATTCCAGGAGCGAATTTCATATTTTACGGTTAAATCATAAAATTTAATTTACGTAGTTAACCTTTGGTAAAGGATTCCCAAATAAGATGTAATGCAAGGCACACAGGCTGAAGACGAATTCAAAGTTAGTGTAATCTCTCTGGAACTAATTTAAAAATGCGAATCTGATTTAAAATGGCGTTCATATATTGTAATTTTTAAAAAGACGAAGCACAACTGTATCGAATTGATCTAGAGACACTTAATATTATTTATGAAAAGTCGAATTGTTTTGCCACGCTTTTGAATTAATTTAGTGTATCAACTTTTGGTTTAAGTAAATCTACTCCTTGCACTTTGCCTCGCACTGTTCCTGAGTTTCGAAACGATTTGAATTGCCGCCGCAGCCACCGTAGTCAAACTCCTTGCATGCATTGTCTGCAGCGTAGTAGGTCCAGCTGGGAAGTATAGCAAAGCACCTCATCAAGCCGATGCCATCACCGGCTGGCGGTAGACCGCAAATGTCTGAGCACAGAGCACAAAGAGATAGTTGCTTGCAGAAATGAGACATTTAGAATCAGGTATTTAGACTTACGATTCTTGAGAGCGATGGAAGCGCCGAAGACAGCGATGAATACGCAAAGTACTGCTACAAGTTTCATTTTGTATATTTTCGTAGAGCTTCTGTTGATTAACTAACTCAACTTAAAGCTGAACGCAATGATTTATAGTAGTCACTGGCTACATGAAGCTTATCAGTAGTTTTGTTTATGTACGTGTGGTTGAGAGTGAATCAAGTTGAAACAGATTTTTCAATGCTTTCGAAACATATTCCAGAAGTGAGCGAAATCCAATAGGAGTAGATCGAATTTAAGGCATTTAAGATTTACTTAAATGCAGTTTAAAAGACGAATCCAAGCCAATCCAATCGATATAATTATTCAATCAACCTATGGAGTAAATCAACAGTTATCCATTTGCTTAGTGACTAAATGATCGGCATAAGTATTTTGTTAATAATCAATGGAGATCAATAATAAATTACATCTCAATATTGGCGAGCTATAAGATTCTGTAGTAATTTAATTGATGAGAACGAGTAGATAGATTAGGTTGTAAGTAACAGACAGAATTACCACGTGGACTGTATACTGGAACGGATTGGTTGAAAAATGATTATTATCGGATTTCATGGCATTGACACAAGTTTTATGCCATGTCCAAATACTTAAAGTGAATATTCGAGATCAATGTTATATCCGTGAATATGAATCACATCATAACTTGTTTAGTTACGCCTATCAAACCTACATTTCACACTAATTAGTTTAGTTATTCCACATGACAATATACAAATTCGCTGCAGTACCTTGCCTATTCATTGCTTTCGTAAGCATTTATCCAAGTTTTGCGAATGATCATCGTACGGTAAGCTGCCGCCTCCAGACCTTAGAATATGCGAGTTCCCCCAGGATACCTGGAGATACTCTCCAGCAGAGGATGACTGCAAGCCCTTCAAATTTAAGGGATGCAAAGGTTTTATCAATGTTTTCAGGACCAAAGGACGTTGCTTACACGCATGCGAATTGTAAATATTTTGTATAGCTTTTGGATATTCCACTTCGAGGCAAGTCTCTATATGGATCGTAAAACCTCTGATTACTATGATATTCAAATATGTGATTGAGAAGTAATGTAAAAAAATTTTTCAGAAATTATCGTTTTAAATCGTTAAATATATATTATATGAGTATAATTCCAGATTCCCACAGCGTAAACCTAAAAAACTGATTAGTAAATAAAACACAATATCAATAGCTCAGTTCTGGGAACTGAATTTGTTTGTCAACAGCTCGGGGAATTCCTGAACGGATTCCAAGACATTAAAATCATCGTTGTGCCTATAGAAAAGTAAATAACAAATAAATACACAATTGCAGCAAAAACTTCTAGACTTCATTGACAATAGCCTTTAGAAAATAGCTGTTCAGGGTATATTGGTTTTGGACAGAAGTAGACGCTGCCGTACGATTTTATATGCTCGTACAATTACTGAATTGTTTCTAAAAGAGAAGAAACAGAACAGAAAGGAAAACAGTGTTGGAGGTCTTTAACATGCAGATGTATAATAGCTCATAGTCGGTCATTCCCCACGCTGAATCACTCAAATTTGATTTCGTTCAGCTCACTCGATCGGCTATAAAATAAAAATGTTTGTTTTTAAACAGTTTTCAGCTGTTATGAATAAAGTGTTCGATTTTCTTTGCCAGACTTGATAACGAACTGCTGCTTTGCACTCTTCTAATACTCTACCAAAGAGTATTATAGCTTTGTCATAAGAATTGAAAAAAAAATCGTTAATTACTTACAAAAATTGCAAAACTAATTATCAGTAAATTAGAATAATAATGATCTGATTTTTCATATTCCATAGCATGTTAAATATTTTTCCCAAGTGACTATGATTTCTTTCATGTTTGCTCAAGCACAGATATGGATAGAGTATATAACTGTGCTACTGAATTGAGTTCAGTCAAGAAAAATATATAAGCATTAGGTGCAGGCTCGAGCTGGAGTCAGTTTAGTCCAAATCTATCGCTGGATATACAAAGTTAACTTATCAGCCAGAAGACTGGCATAAATTCAAATAATAAAAATGAAGGTACTTTTATTACTGCTGGTGATTTGTGCAGCTCTTCAAGTAAACTGCTCGAAACCCAAAAATCGTATGTTGCCAAAATGTGTAATACCCTTTGGAAATTAATTTTCCCATTTGTTGCTTCTAGCGGTATGCGAACTAGCCCATTCATTCAATGTCGATGTTTATACTTCCTGCCTGAATAGTGCGCGCCGTTGGTCCTACAATGCCGCAACCAATACCTGCATTAAGTTCACCTATTTGGGCTGTGGGGGAAACGGCAACAATTTCCTGACCAAATCGCAATGCTTACGACAGTGTGTGCGAAAATAGTGGAAAATTTTTATATTTATACTCCCATTTTATTAATCGATGTAAAACAATCTTATCATATATAAAGCATATTTAGAATATACTCGATTGTGGAAAATGGAATTACAGGGTGACAGGTTTCGTGTAATTGTAAATCGTTGTCTGGTTGATGAGTTCATCTTCACAATTAGTATTTATTGTTGTATTAAAAATTACATTATTCTTATCAACTTATATATTAAATTACATATAATAAACTAAATCGTTACTTTTGTCATAAAGTTCTAGCTAATATCATTTCAATTGCTGAGAATATATTCACATTCAGACTTCAGAAAAATCGTGCTTAGCATTTAAAAAATCTCAGCTTTCTATTAAGTTGTTTACCGAATCGAACCCTTTTGTCATACAATTATTAACCAATACATTTCATTTCAGTAAAAAGCACAGCTCCTAAAATGTATGTAAAAAGCTACTCCGACTGGCTTTAGATTAGTTTAAATTTGTAACCAGCTGTATTCAGTTCAAAGATTCAACATGAAGATTCTGGTGTCGTTCGTAGTACTCGCTGTGTCCATTAGCATCTGTTTTGCGCTCAAAAATGGTGAAACTCTATTTAGGGATTTCAATAATCACTTAATATATACACAATTAAAAAAAAAAAAAAACAAAAATAAATAAAATAAAATAAAATATATATATATATATATATATATATATATATATATATATATATATATATATATATATATATATATTTTATACAAAAAATAAATAAAATAAAATAAAATAAATAAATATATATATATACATACATATATATGTATATATATATATATATTTATTTATTTTATTTTATTTTATTTATTTATTTATTTTTTTTTTTTTTCGTTTAGAGCTTTGCGGTCTGCCGCATTCTTTAGAAGGTGGTCCGAACTTTTTCTGTGAAGCCTACCTACCAAGTTGGAGCTACAATGCGGCGGCTACCGAATGCGTGGAATTCATCTATGGTGGCTGCGGCGGCAATGACAATCGTTTCAGCACCAAAGAACACTGTGAGGAAAAATGCTTGGAATAGATAACAAAAATCTAATGAAAAATATAATTTCTAAATTTGAACTGATTTTTTATAAAAATAAAAAAATACAATTATTCCTTTTCATTCAACCGTTTTACTTGATGAGTTATACAATTAGCCATGACTTTAGGAGTTGTATTATTACATTATATTTGCCATTGTTGTATATTGTTTAATTATTTAAAAAACTATAGACTTTAAGTAAATTGCTCGATTTGCCAGCAGAGCAAAGCTCGCCGTTCCACTGATGTGCTATATCATACAGAATGGCATAGTTCTAGCTGCGAATTGAGGTTAGAGACAAAGAACTCTATGAAATCGTATTTATCTTAGTATAACTTCCTTCTCTATCAATCTCACTGTTTACCCGATTATTTCTATGATATTTATTATATAAAGTGCTCTATGAAAACGTATTATTATTTATTTTTCAATTAATCTCGCTGACCGCCCGATAAATTCCATGATATTTCTAATGCAGATGTCGAAACCCACAGACGAAACGATTATTTTGAATTATTTCATAGATCGAATTCTCGATACTGCTCATATGGAAAACTATAAGAGATACCATAATAAAAACAAAAATTATTCTGTTTGCTTATACGATAATTTACATGTGCAAGAAACGATATTTTTAAAGGCTAATGCTAATTAAGAATCTTCGCATAGTACAATTTAATATAATTCAACTAAGTCTCTGATATATCAAAAAGTCTCTCTTGAGTTGAATGCAATATTAAATCGAATGTATATCAATTTTTTTTGCTGTTTCCCATTAGACACGAATGTTTAACGGATATTAAGTAGATCATTCAGACTTTATTATTCATAATATGTGAATATGAATGTTTTCAGTTCATAGTTACCAGAATGAAGTTGGTTTGTGCACTTGTGCTGATCACTGCGTTACCTTTATGCGTTGTTGCGCCGCGTGGTATAAAACTACAGAATTCAAGCATTTCTATCGAACTCAGTTTAGTTAATGCTACGTTATGTATCACACAGGTTTATGCGGACACAAGCTTGTCATAAATAGTCATATTGGCCGTGACTGCGGAATAAAGCGAATAAGATGGGCCTACGATTTGCTGAAAGCGAAATGCGTTCAATTGATCGATAAGGGTTGTCTTGGAGCTAACAATCGGTTTACTACGCAACAAGATTGTGAAATGCATTGCAGGAACATTAAACCTCATCTTGCGTTCGATAACTGAGAAATGTGAATAAATATATATATATTTGCATAGGTAAACGTAGACATCGAATTTTCATGTGAACTCGGTAGTCTCAGCTCTATAACTACAACAACTGTTGTTTTATTGTACCTCACTAAATCTGAGGACTTCAGAAAAAGTAAAATCGTGCTGAGTATTTCATAATATCAGCTCGAGCAACGAGCTATAGTTTCCTATTAAGTTGTTTACCGAACCAATTTGTCTTACAATCGTTAACCAATACAAAACATTTCAGCGATAAGCAGAGCTTCTGAAATAGATTTAAATAGCTACTCCGACTGGCTTTAGATTAGTTTAAATTTGTAACCAGCTGTATTCGGTTCAGTGATTCAACATGAAGATTCTGGTGTCGTTCGTAGTACTCGTTGTCTCAATTAGCAGCTGTTTTGCGCTCAAAAATGGTGAAACTCTATTTAGGGATTTCAAAAATCATTTAATATATATATATGTATTTATTTTTTTAAATTATATGTAATTTGTCATTAGACCTTTGCGGTCTGCCACATTCTGCAGATGGTGCTGGGGGCATAACCTGTGACGCCTACTTTCCAAGCTGGAGCTATCATGTGGCGGCTAATGAATGCGTGAAATTCATCTATGGCGGCTGCGGCGGCAATGACAATCGTTTCGACACCAAAGAACTCTGTGAGGAAAAGTGCTTGGAATAAATGACAGATATCTATTGAAGAATATAATTTCTGAATTTAAATGGATTTGATTAAATAATAAAAATATAAATATAATACAAAATATTATTCCTTTTCATTTAACTGTTTCTACTTGTTGAGTAATACAAATTGTCATGATTATTTGAGTAGTAATATTGTATTGGATTTGCCATTTGAATAGTATTCAAGTCAATTGTTAAAATTCATGTAAGTTCTACACAACTACAAGAGGAAGGCAGCACTGAGACCTTCTTCTATCTCTATTACTACAACAGTTACTGTTTTATTGAATTTACCCAAGCCTCAAGGGACGCGATATTTGACCAGTTGGCGCTATGTTGACTCCAAAAGCATTTTGAGACTGCATGATTGCATCTCTCGTGGCTATGCTAAGTTTACTAAATAAGTACATATATTTACAACAGATTTGGAGAGGAGGGCAAGGACGCAACCAGTTCGAAGTGCTGAAAAAACCCAATGAGTCCGAGCACAAATACTTATTGTATTAATTAAACTGAATACAGCTTGTTGTGCAAAATTTTACTATAACTTGAAGGTTTGTTGTTTTTGCAATGAGAGCGCCGCTTGACCCACAGATAAGGTTCCAGCCGGTTTCTGCCCATATATAACGAGCCCCACATGCCGGCTCCAAGCTCAGTTGCAATCGATTTAGTGATCGAATCTATGTTGAAAACTTAAACTCAATTCAAGATGAAATATTTCGCTGTGCTGCTGCTGTTGTGCGCCCTCTTGGGCTCTGCATTGGCGGGCCTCAAGAATCGTAAGTTTTCATATGTGAAACCAATATCCGAATAAATAATATTACTGATTCAAAAACTACGTATATAGCCAACATCATTTACGAGCGATGTCTATATAAATATTGTTTATTTATTTCCATTCATTCATTTCATTTATTGATTGAACTTAACTCTTCTCCTCTTACATCAGCTGTCTGTGGTGAGGAGTTTGGCAAGATCGGCACCTGTCGTGCCCTGCAGCCGAAGTGGACTTACCGCCGGGACACCAATGAGTGCATCAACTTCAATTATAGCGGCTGCCAAGGCAACAACAATCTCTTTGAGTCGAAGAGCCTCTGCGAGAAGACCTGCAAAGTTTGAGTAAATTATTGTACAAGTTGCTTAAATAAATGCTGTATTTATAATTTTCCATATTCATATGATCAGCAAGTGTTTTATTAAAATATACTAGTTGCTGTAGACTTGAGACAGGTCTACTCTGATTTGTTAGCTATCGGATCATTATATATATTTTATTTCAATTAATAATAATAATGAAAAATATAAATATTTTTTAAAATTATTTTAATCGGCATAAAAAATAATAGAAAATTATATTTATTTTCTTAATACAAATAAAAGTCATAGATTTGGCGTTTCTTTCTTTAGATAGAGCTGGTATGGCATATTATAAAAAGTATAACCATTTCTTCATAATGAGTCTATTCTCTTATAGAAATATATGCTAAATATGAGCAAATTAAACATTCAATAGTCGGCCATATATATATATATAAAGTCATATATATATATATATAAAGTCATAAAAAGTGCATTGAGTAGGCTCTAACTATATGATTTGTTGGCTATCTCAGCTCAATATGTAGACCCTGGGTAGATTAGAGCTAGAGTTCCGTGCTGTTATCGATGGGGGCTTTCCACGTTGACCCATTCCGTTCGGCTCTGAGCACAGCACAGATAAGCCCCACACCATCTACTTCTGCACATGTCTTAGAAGTCTGCTATATGTACGGGGCTTTAAATAGCCCAGTTGTGGACTGCAGGAATTGCAGTTTCAATTGTAAAATGAAGTGGGACTATCTGTGGCTTACGATGCTTGGATGGCTGCTGTGCCTTGGCATGGTGAGCGCCAAGCCAGGTGGGTGGATCTGTGAGAGATTCTTGCACATACTCGAATCGAAGCATCTATTTCCTCTTAGATATGTGCAGTGAGCAGCATTCGAAGTCCGGCATGGAACAGGATGGCGCTGCCTGCATGGCCTATATGCCCAGCTGGACCTACGATTCGTCCAAGAATGAATGCATTGAGTTCGTCTTTGGTGGCTGCGGCGGCAATAAAAATCAATTTGGCAGCAAAAGTGAATGCGAAAAGGCCTGCAAGGACTAATTTGGCTCATCCCATTAAGGCATCTCAAACCGGTTGCAAGTGCTGCCAGAAATTCAGTAAAAATCGACAGAAAACCCAACAAAATAAAAAAATCAAAGTAAATAAACAGTTATTAAATAAGCAAAGCGTAACTTGTTGTGAAAAATAAACAAAAAAAAATCACATTAATTTAAAGGTTTTGTTTGCTCGCTTGACCCACACATATGGCTCCAGCCGGTTTCTGCCCATATATAACGAGCCCCACATACCGGCTCCAAGCTCAGTTGCAATCGAAACAGTGACCAAATATCAGTTCAATACCCAAGCTCAATTCAAGATGAAATACTTTGCTGTGCTGCTGCTGCTGTGCGCCCTCTTGGGCTCTGTGTTGGCTACCTTGAAGAATCGTAAGTTCTCGAACACACCTCGCTGGAGTCTGTTTGCTGTGAATACCATCAACATACTATAGAAGTCTAGACGGAATTTTATATGTCATTCATGTTTGATTTGAAAGTGAAGTAGAAATTATTATTTCATCATTATTTATGACAGATCGAAATTATATATAGATGAACTCCTTATCGCTGTTGCTTCAAGCAGATGTTTGATTAGCCACCTGCTCATTTTATACACGAATATTGAACATTATTTTATTTCCATTCAAAATGACATTTGCTGATAAAAGTGTGATTCGAAAACGATTCGCATGTCATGGCTCATTCTACTCTACTCAATCCTGCCCTTCGCTCTAACTCAACTTTTGTCTCTTTGTTCAGCTGTCTGCGGTGAGGAGTTTGCTAAGATCGGCACCTGTCGTGCCCTGCAGCCAATGTGGTCGTATCGCCAGGAGACCAATGAGTGCATCTCCTTCAACTATAGTGGCTGCCATGGCAACAACAATCTCTTCGAGTCGCAGAGCCTTTGTGAGCAGACCTGCAAAGTTTGAGTGAAATCATTTCCAATGTTTGAGTAAATAAATATTGTTTTTGCTGTTTTTTTGTTTAAATTTTGTAATATGATCATTTATTGTTTTATTTAACTTGATTTAACGTTAATTAACTGTGTGGTTGGCAATACTTGTGGCTCTATGCGTTTCTTGTTGCTGTTGGCTTGATTTTATTGCAGTGAGATAAGTCTAGTCTAGGCAGATGTCTGATTTCTTAGCTGTCTGTTCATTCTATACAAGAGTATATGTTTATTATATATATACTATATTTTATGATGCATATGTTTGTTATTATTGTTGATATTTATAATCAATTGAAGTGGCTCTGCCAGCTGAAATCTCGATTATGAGGCTACAGGTCAATGTCAGCTCTAACCGCGAGAGATGTATCAGAGAAATATTTAGAATTTATTTTATGATTTTTTTGTTTTGTTTTTTAATTTGAAAAACGATTGTAAGGCCTTTAAATTAGGGTGTTTTTTTTTTTTTTTTTTTTTAATTTATACATTATACATTTTTTTTAAACAAAATTGTTCAAGGTGTGCAAATTTTTCTATAACTGATAGAGCTCGCTCTCTCTTACGATCTCTCTCTCTCTCTCTCCCTCTCTCCCTCTCTCTCGCTCTCTCTCTCTCTCTCTTCTTGCCTCTCCTTTGCTTAGGATCTCTGTGCTGAGATTTTCAGCTGCTTTGCCACCTGCAAATCTCTAAAAGTCTAGCTAAGTAATCTAAAAGTATTTCGAATGTGAGTTTTTATTGTGTGTGCGTGTGTGTTGCCCTCTTGAAACTAATGCTTAAATGCTAAGTCCGCCACATGGTATAGATTTATATGTATGTATTTATATAGTTTTTATAATCTAAAAATTAATAATTATTATTATAATGCTGCTTATTCGGTTTTGCTTGGCAGCGCGTTGCCATTGATGGAGGCTGCTGTGGCTGCCGGCGACTCGGGACGCACTCCAGTGGCTGTGGGTGGCAGCTGCTGGGACTGTAGCTGCGTGGGCGTGGTTGGGGGCGACAAAGTAGCATGATGTTGCTGCTGTTGCTGTTGTTGCTGCTGCTGTTGCTGATGCTGTTGCTGTTGCTGCTGCTGCTGCTGCAGTTGTTGCTGTTGATGATGATGATAGGCTGCTGCCGATTCGGCTAGATCAAGCAGCGCAGCCGATGTGGAGCTAGTGGCGCCTGCACCACCGCCCGGACCCAAACCATTCATGGTACTGGCCGTCATGTCCTGTGCCTCGTGTTTCATGCGCAGCGCATTGTTGTTGTTGTTGTTGTTATTGTTGTGGTTGACGGCATGCCCCAGCGCCGGATGATGGGCGAACGAGAGCGGCGGCAAGTGGAGACCCGGAAAGGCCAAGCCCGCAGCAGCTGCGGCATGCAGCGACTGCAGCAGCGCAGCTGAATGCTCCTGCGCCTTGCGTCGCAGCTCCGCCACCGAATTGGAGCGTGGATCGTGCGAGCTACCCCCACTGGACTTGGGCGACTCTGGCGAGCTGGCCGCCGAGCTGCTGCTCACAGGGACGCTGAGAGGCGCCATCACCGAAGACGAAGCCGTGGATGACGGCGGCATAGGCGGCGGCTTCAGCGAGCAGCACGAGCAGAGACTCTGGAACGGCGAAACACCTGAGGGAGAACGAAGATTATTGCTTAAATTGAAATTATCAATTTGAAAATTGTTTTTGATGTCAATGCATCATCATCTTGGCGCCGGCAGCAGCTGCTAATTTGATTAGCAATTGCTTTTGATTTTTATTTGGCGCATCGACGCTTTGATTGACAGCCCATCGATAGAGATTATGCCATTAGTCCACCCACCTTTGAGTCCCGGAAAGAGCGGCTGATGCGAAAACTGAGCCGCCAGATGCGGCGGCAGGAATAACGGTGGATGATTCGCGTTCCGCTGAGCCGCTGCCGCGGCGGCTGCTGCTGCGGCCACAGCGCTCTGCTCGCTGAGCACTGGACGAAAGCCGCAGCTACTGCAAGTAAATGGAAAACAGTTGTGATTATTGTAGAGTATATTAGACTAGAAGATACCCTCTTAGTTCAAATATGGAAAACGATTGAATATTTTAGACTAGAAGAGACCCTCTTAATTCAAACATGGAAAACATTTAAATATAGAGTTCATATAATGTGAATATTGTAAAGTAGATTAGACTGGAAGATATCCTATTCATTAAAAAAAGTAAAATAGTTTAATATAGTTCAATATAGAGAAGATATCCTATTCATTGAAATTTAGACAAGGCTGAGCAAAGTAATAGAGCATGGTTAAAAGGGTGAAATGTTTATTCAAGTTCTAAAGAATTGAAATATACATATTTTATATTAACAAACTCTTAAACGAAATGTAATGTGGAGACATACATTTTGATGTAATTGAAATCCAGACTATATTATTTCAAATAGAGATTTAGTTATCGAAACGTTTGCTCTGATTATAGCACATAATCAAAATTTCAGGAGCATCTGTTATTTACGACTGTTCATCACCTCTTCTGTTACTCATCGTGTCACTCTGCATTCAGGAATTTTTCACTTAATGTAGCTCCTAAAGCTTCCGCCTATGACTCATATAGTATATGCCTAGCTTGAGAAAGTAATTTAACCCAATTCACTTGACACGCTGAGCAATGGGAAAGTTTCTGATCGCTGTGGCCTCTCAGCTCTGTCGGCCCTTTCACAATTCTAGATGTATATGACATATTTATTATATATACATATGTATGGGTGCGTGTGTATTCATAGGCATCGTACTTTAAATATGCAATGGCAAATGGCTCGCACCCAACACACAAACAGGCGACACAGCTTTTAATTAACGCTTAATTGAAATAAATTAAAACATTTTTATGCGTAATTGCATTATTATTAATAAACCTAAATATTTTGTATACATGTAAAAAAGAAAATAACAGCAGCTGTTGTCCCCTGTTGTTGTTGTTGCTGTTGTCTAGGCCCCTACTCGTTTTAAATGAATGAAATATAACGCTTAGGTCACACAGCAGCAGCAACTCCCATTTGTCGTGTCCCCGAACAAACAGTTAATGCAATTTAAACAATTTTAATTGATAAGCGAGCCAAACAGTTTTTAGAAAATACAAAAAAATATATATATATTTATGTGTATAAGCATATAGTGTTGCATAATATAGATAAATTATATGAATGCCATAATCCATTAATAAAATTAACAACGTTTTTTATTAGTCATAATTGAGGCATATTTTCTTTTTTTAAACTCATATCTAAATGGATTCAATGACGTGTAAGAGTATTTCAATGCAAAGTTCATAAATAAAGTTTAATAAATGAATCCTGCCATCATATATGCGTATACACCTGTTAAGGAAATTTAATTATAATATGCTAAATGCTAGACTAACAGATAAACAAGAATTACATTTCTGATAACAAAATAGAATAGATTTTACGTTCACATATTTTTTACTAAATTCGAATACCCTCTTTTAGAGCATATAGAAAAGAGAATGCAATTTAATTTATTTCAATTTGAGCTAAGCTTTTCAGCGTTTAGTCCATTTGGAGCTAGTCCTGTGGGACTATTGGAGCTGGATGCAAATGTGTCCAAAATTTAATAACTCTTAGTGCGGCCTAACTCAACGCGAGGGGCCCACAGCAGACAGGCATGTGGAGTGGATTGAGGTGGATCAGGGAGCCGGCTGCCGGCAGCCCGGCTGCAGAGGGAGGGCCGAACAAATCTCTGAATGCTAATCGAGTTGCGGGTGCAGAAAAAAAAAAAAAAAAAAAAAGCAGGCCATGGCAGAAAGACGGCCGAATGTCGCGACCACAGCCGCTGGGCCACAGTCGTCGCGGCTGTCGCTTTTAATTCTTTTCACTTGTTTTTTCCGCTCTAAACTTGACGGTTTTTGGCTTTTGCCTTTTGCCTTCCCCTTACATCCTGTTCGCCCTTGTCCTAATTCAGCCCTGGTATTTTCTTTATTTTTAGGATTTTGACCGCTTTTCGTGCTTACAGCTGACTGAGGGGGCAGCTGCTGCACACTTTTTGGCTTGAAACAGAATTTTGTATGCGGCGAATGCGTAATTTTTGGTTTTGTGTTTTTTACAATTTTCATTATTTATTTTCATATTAGACTTATGAATTTTTCAAAGAATTGTAAGCTATTTGTAAAGTGATTGAAAGGACATTGGATTAAGATGAAATTTTGAATTTTTGTTTAAGGGAGACGATTTTGTCAAAAAAAAAAAACTTTTTATGAGCACTTGGGTGGAATTAATAATTATGTGAAATTGTGACACAATTTTTAAAAATTTAGATTTATATATATTGAGTATAATATTTGAATAAATTTTTGGAATATGTTTATACATATATTCGCTCTGAATTGTTTATTTATATATATATACATTTTATTACAATACTATAATTTGACGCAAAGAAAGAAATCTAAATTACGTATATATTTTTGTGATTCAATATAATATTTAAAATATCCATTGCTTATTATTTTTGTTATTTATTTAAAAAATTTTTAAATATATATATATTTTTTAAATTTGTATAGTAATTAATAATTTAAAAAAAAATATCAAGAAAAAAAACTCACCAAATATGTTTTTTTGAAAAAAGAAAAGATAAATTCATTTTTATACATTTTTACTATTTAATAAAATAGGGGATTGTTATCAATTTTCAAAATTTTCTATTTGCATAGTAAGAGTCTTCAAGCCAATTAACACAGGACAGCCTAATTAGGCCCAAAAGGTAAATGAAAGGTAAATGCAAGAGCAAGATTTAACAGAGTCTCTAGTTCATACCAGAGCGTATAGTATTTATAGTTCCATCTACAGACTCGAGCGGCGACCTGCGCTCTCTGTTCGGGTTGCAGCGAAAAAAGCAGTAAACTTAAATGTTTGCGTATAATTAAGCACTCATCCTTTGGTCGTAATTAAATTTTGCATGTGCACATCCAACAGCTGCCGCCGACTGAGCGGGTGAGTGTGAGTGGGAGAGAAAGAGAGTGAGAGAGAGGGGAAGTGACGGCGGCGTGGCTGAGCTTGGAGATTTCGTATGTCTTGTCTGAGAAAATGTTGGCAGCATCAACGCGCCGAGCGCCGCAGGCGACAGGCGGGTCTGTTTGACAAAGTCCCACGCCCAGGCAGCCAGGTCTGTGCTGCCGCCCTAATTGCAACACTCAACGGCGTGCCCAGTCAGAGACTAGCTGCTCTCGCACTCCTAATTAAGACATTCAGAAGCTCGAGTGTTGTCGTTGAGCTCGTTAGTTAGTACATAACTTTTGCTGTGGGCCAAGAGGCAGCTGTGTGTTTGTGTGTGTGTGACTTGAGCGTTTGTCAATGTCAGACTGACAGAGAGAGATAGAGAGACAGAGTGAGACAGGGAGAGCTCACCTAGCTCCCAAAAAGTTTTTCTTTAAATTTTCGCACTTTTCACAGATTGCCGTTTGCCAAGGAGAAAGTTTTAGCCCGACTTGGCTTAATGAATTTTTACACATGTTGCCCCCGTCCAGCCACGCCTACACACGCCGCCCCTTATTCTTAATTTTTCTGGCAAACATTTTAATGCTTTACGCAATTCTAACAAATTAAACTCGAGCAATCAACACCTCAACGGCTTAGCGGGTACCGCCATGCCGAATCCCTACTTTCCTGAAGCCAAACTCAATTTCCGCAAAAATGTTTGTGTTGGCAAAAGTTTCTTTTTTCCACAAAGTACCCTAGACTTATGAAATATTTACAAAAGCGGGTATAATTATGGAAATTATATGTTTTCTGAGAACTGTTTCAGAATACTCGGAACTGTTGTTCAGCAGAGACATAGAAGTATTCTTAAAATTTTAGTTCGAATGATGTATTCCACTTTAATATTTTTAAAATAATTTTAGACAAACTGACGATAGAGATTAGATAAGATTCAAATAAAAAATATTAACAGGTTAACGTGATAAACTCCAACTCTTCTCTTGGATGAAGCAACCTTTGCCTAAAATTATTTTCTACTTGCTACCCTAGCAACTAGCTAAAGCTTCTGCTCTGAACATTATACGCTTATTATATTAGGCAACCCAAAGTTGCTCTTGTTGTTGTTGTTGTTGGGTGGGTTGGGACCCTGTTGTTTGTTTGTTGTTAAGCGCGAGTCAGCGGCTTATTTTAATTGCATGATGAATATTAAAATATTTGCCCAATTTATTATTCAAGCATTCGTGCGCGCAAGCATCAACGAGCCCGATACACATAGGTAAATGCTTATATACACACACAAATATGCGTATATATATGTATATGTATATCTGTATACAATATGTTCAAGTATATATGTAGCTTGAATAGCTCATTTGATTTTTGGCCTCTGCCTGGGCATGCGGCTGTTTACATGTTTAAGTAGCTCGGATTTTATGTGCCTCGGCATCTAATAACATATTTAGTTAGTTGTGCATAAATTATTTGGCATATACAGCTTGAAATCTTATCTTTTTTATAGTTTGGTACATAATTATAATTATAATTTCCTGTATAAAGTCGAAAGATATTTCACAAACAGATTTGACAGCCAACTCAAACTGCAAAACTTATATACATTTTATATCTATTATGAGCTAATGCTATATTCGCTAGGTTTTATGGTTTATGCTTGAAATATATCCATTTCCACGGCACGTCCGCCTGCAGCTATCGAGAGATAGAAAATTATTCTTATTGCCAAAACAGCCCCCATATATAAATAATTTACAGGCCTTCCTCTTACGGTCGTAGGTCCATCTTACAATCTTTCTATGACATCGACCCCTATAAGCAGGCGGATATACACAGGGAGCTGAAGTGATAACAGCAAAAGCTTAGTAAGGTATTTTGAGATTGAGAAGCTAATCGAATTCTTACAAAGCCGTCCGGCTATTGCAATGCCAAGCAACACGAAGAGCAAGTAACTCAATGCAGCGCATTTCATTTAGAACGGTTTGCGATACTAGAGGTCGGCTGTTGAAAGACTAACGAGGTAAACCTATAGAGCAAGCCAAATGAGGCTCACAAATTGAATTTGCATACATAATGAACTATAAAGCGAAAAAATGCAACTAATTGGAATATATAAGCTAACTAGAAAGACATTTAGTGGTAAATATCTAAATGTCTAAAGCATATATTTTCCTGTCCATCTCTTTGTCCGAACGAACGATCTTAGTTCTCAGATCGAATTTTTTTCATACAAAAACTAATTTCGTGAAGCCTAACTCAATTTTCACAAAAATTTTTGTGTTGGCAAAAGTTGAATTTTTCCACGAAATGCTCTAGGCTTATTAGCCTATCTATACAAAATCAGGTATAATTATGGAAATTATATAACTGTTTCATATGTGTATATAGATAGATATATTAAATATATTCAAGTATATAGCTTGAATGGCTGGCTCATTTGAAATTTCTTCATTTTTCATAGTTCACATACATAATTATAATTATACTTTTATCCTGTATAAATTTAATAAGAGATTTCAGAGCTCGACTCTGCGAAAAAACCTACGTGAACATAAATATATAGAGTTTTGTGAGCCTTAAACTGCTGAGAAAAAGATTGGACAACCAACTCACACTGTAAAAATATACACACAATTATATACATCATATATGTATGTATTGTGAGTTAATACAAATAGAATTTATTATAGACGACTTTAGGTTTTACTGGCTTCATGGTAATCTGCCTGGAACGGCACGCCTTCCTGCACCGCGCTTGAGTTTTAAAATTATTCTTATTGCCACCACATCCCCCATATATGAATGACCTACAGGCCTTCCGATTAGGGAAGTAGGTCCATCTTAAAGTCTGTTTACCACATGGACCTCTATAGGCAGGCTGCTGTACACAGGGAGCTGAAGTGATGATTTTAGTATTGAATATCAATTGAGAAATTGATCACATTCTTACAAGGCCATGATGCTATTGATATGCCAAGCCATACGAAGAGCAGGTAACTCAGTGCAGCAAGTTTCATTTTGAATGGTTTGAAATATTACAGGTAATAGAATACAAAATCAAGTCCATAAATCGAGTATGCATAAATAATTGCAAAGGGAAAAATGAAACTAATTGACATTTAATGGTAAATATCAGAGATAAAACATATTCATAGTCCAAAGCACATTTCATCTGTTCATTATTTTCACTGTTCATCTGAAGAACAATCTCAATTGTCAGATCGAATTTGTTCATACGAAAATCGCTAATTGTCCAGCCTAAGTATTATCGATTTTATTATTATATCTCAAGCGCCTTTGGAGCGAAAGCCAAAACTTATTATTTAGTTTCATGTGCATATTATTCATTCTGTATAAGTTATTTTTTAAATAACATATATTTTATACATATGCTTGAAATCATCGATCTTTCGAAGAGCACGGTGTCTCCTAGGCCTTCGTATAACGGTTTTATTCGTAAATTTGAAGTCACGGACCTTTCGGATTTTCGGATATTTTTTTACTCGTTGGCATGTTTCCCTGCACTCTTCGAGACTATCAAATCTATTCAGGGTCCCTAGACACCCCCCATACATGAACTGCTTACAGATATTCATCTTGCGATGGTAGGTCCATTTTAAATCTTTCTGTGGACATGGACCCTTGACGGCAGGCAGTAAGTTACAAATATCTAAAATGTTTACAATTATTAAGTAACGCATATCAATCGAGAAGCTTATCGAATTCTTACAAAGCCTCTGCGCTGTAGCAATGGCACACAATTGGAGAAGCACGTAAATCCATCCAGCGTATTTCATTTCGAGCAACTTGAGCTATTGACGGTCGTCCGAGTACTTAGTCGACTAAGTAAACCAAGTTTATAGAAGCGAAATTAGAATTCGTAGCGTATGCTAAAAAGCGAAGCTAAAACGAATTTGAATGGTTGCAAAGCCTGGAGAATATCAGCTAATATGATAGACCCATAATATCATGATATCACCAAAACTCTTAATGCCTGATTACATTTTCTCTCACAGAGTTGTATATTTTATAAATGCTTAAACCAAGCACATTGCCTCGCACTTTTTTCGAGACTTAAAACGATTATCATTGCCTTTGCATCCCCCATAAAGGAATCTCTTGCACTCATTCGCAAAATTATAATAGGTCCATCTGGATATGTATGTAAAGCACGATGGATCTCCAATAAGTGCAGAGCCCGGATCAGCTGGCCGCTGTGCACAAATAGCTGAAGATTTAAAACGCTAGATTATGTGAGCAATGGAGATGTTCGTCTTATTCTTACGATTCTTTACGGTCAGCGCGATGCCAAGCACTGGGAAGAGCAGATAAATCAATACGGCGTACTTCATTTTGAACAGCTGCTAAGATAAGTTGCCTGCTGAAACGCTAAATAAATAATGCTAAAAATCATCGCCTTCATGGGAGCAAAATAAAATCTAAATTGCAAAGCGAAACTAAAACAAATTACGAATGTGTTGAGCTAACTCGAAAGGCATTCAATGGTAAATAACAGAGACTTAAGAGAGTAAGACTAAGAACAAGAATAAATAAAATTGTATAATATACACTTAATATGCTACAATTAGCTCAATTTAAAATCAACTTAAAAATAGCCATAAAGCTGTTCAATTATTCTCTTTATATCTTTAGCAAAGTAAAAATCATTTCAATGCCAGCTGCGTTTCAGCTGAACTTAAGTATTCCTTCTGCTAATTGTTTATACAAATTGACAATACAAAACACAACAGGTGTTAATTGTTTTTGTCACCTGACCATGTGTTAGCTGAAAATATTACTGAGAAGTGTAAAGCCCTAAACCAAATGGAAAACACTTATATTTTTCACGTGAGTTTGTATAAGTTAGCAACAAGATGAGCTTAAAAATTATAATATTTTTTTTTTTTGATATTATATTTTTTCTGCTGATTAAAGCTTATAGAAAAATTATTTATTTTAATTTGTAAGCTTGACTTAAAAGCTTAAAATAAATGTGCATTTGCTATAGCTTTTCTTTTATCTATTGCTGTAATACATATAGAGAATAATATACAGTTAGATAAATATTAATAATAGTTATGCCAATAGGAATTTAGAATACTTGGACTTATATCGAATGTCTTCAAATCATTTCTTCCCTTTGACATAATTAATTGCCATTGATTGACTTTCTGAGCTGCTGAGCTGACATCAGCAGTGAAGTTGACTCGAGTGCCATACGAATGATTGGAAAGTGAATATGTGTGCTATGTAGTTTTGTATTTGTTGTTGTTTTCCGATTTGCATAAAATATACAAGAATATATAGAGATATAGAAATAGTTGAGTGCATGTCTAATGCGATGATAAATGCTTGCGATGAAACGCTTGACTTGAGCTGAGAAGCACTGAAAAAGAGCATAATGAAAAAGATGGAAGATAGAAGATGGGAGCTGGAAGATGGAATATGGAAACACATAGACACACACACACACACACACACACAGGATATCCGGCTGCCGGCATTTGAATAACAATAACGATATCAAAATGATATCAAAGTGCTGAGTGCATGAGCAGTGAGCCAAAGGCGATTGCCATTAGCATATCTGGTAAAGAAGTTGGAATTGATTTGGTCAACCGTTACAGCAACAACAGCAGCAACAACAACAACAGCGGCAGCAAACAGCGAGCAATGATTCAGCTAAAACAGCAGCCTGAGCAGCAGGAGTAGTAGCAGTCGACCTTCTGCCCAGTGGGTCGTCCTCGCCCCTCACCCACTCGACTGACGCTGCGCTATTATATGCCGATCCGCATCCTGATTCCAAGTATTTTCGTTTTTTTTTTTTTCTACTCTCTTCTATTTTGGTTTTTTATTGTGGTGTGTCGCTTTATTGTTGTTGTTGTCTGGGCGCGTTGACATGTGAGCTGAAGCAGCGCCCGGCCGTATGGGCCGCCCGTGGCCTCTTTGCCGGCTGATGAGACCGCCCACCGCTAACCGACGCCGCTCATCCACTCACACTCCCCGTCGCACTCAGCCGCCTTTTGTGGGCCGCCGGGTGTGGCATATGGTTACATTGCCATCAACAACACAACAAACACGACAAACACGCGAAACACCCTCATTTACGCCCAATTACATTCTCCAGTTGGCTTTTTATGTGCGAAAACATTTGAAGTCGCCAATATGCATTCATCATATTTGGATTTTTATTTTGAGCAATAAATTATGCTTGAATAAATGAAGAGCTGGAGACAAGATTCATAAAAGATCAGTCTGATTTTTTAGCGTAGACTGAAGACAAATATCATTATCAATTACTGCTATTAAGAGGTTTACATGTTTCTGTTCAAAGAAACTCAATATAAGAAATAAAAGTCTCATAAAAAAAATAGACTTAAGAAAAAGTAGTAGAAAGTAAAATGTAGTAGAAAGTAACATGTCCAGATGTGATTCAAGTTTTATAATATTATTTTATAATTTTCTTTATGTATCTTTTATAAGGCTTTTCAAGCATTTACTATTTTCCAAGGTATAAATAATTTATAATATAATTTCAATTAACTCGAAAAAAAACTCTATCTCTTTCAGAAAAATTTGTTCCCGAGAATTCTCGATAAATTTCTGTGTAAATAAAAAAAAAAAGCTCCTTTTGCCATTTCGAATTTTTGGGACACGACTCTACTTTCCACTATAAATATATTTCATTAAAAATATTTTCTACTTAACGTAATTTATATCTTCCAGCTTATCTTATAGCTTAAAAGCTTTGCTTGTCTAGAAAGACATTTGACGTATTAAATTAGTTGTGAAAAAAGACCTAAGAATATATAAATTTAACAAAAAAGATATGCATATGATAGATAGAATATTTTGTTGATATTATACACATACAAACAAAATGAAATTTAAATGAAATGCAAATACGAATTTCTAAATTTGAACCTATAAACAAATCTAAATCAATACTAAACTTCTTCTCTAAGCAACTCTAAGCGAATGCTACGATACAACTCCAGGCTAATGAGCATTGCCAAATTAATGAACCATTTAAGTTATCTATTAGTTCAATAAGAACTTGAAAGCTAAAGACAATAATGTTGTTGCAGCTTCATTCAGGCGCTATGCCCTTGGTGATTAGACGCTGAACAGCACGTGTTGGTCATATCAGTGCATCAGCATCATTAGATCTCTACTTTTCTCTTTTTGGAGGTCTGGCTGAGAGATGCGGAGAGGCACTCTTAATGTTTCCGCTGGCGCACACGACATCCGCTGACCGGAAGTGCGCCAATGGAATTTAAACGTTTTCATCCAAAACATTAACTGAATCGTCTTCCGCTGCGCACGCCTGCTCAATAGCCCGTGCCAGGTCCGGGGCACCGCAGGAGTCGAAAGGCGAGCCTTATGCCCATACCCAAGCAGTCAGCCAGCCCAACCTTCTCTAATATCATTACTGCTCTCATTGTGGTCGTTGTCTGGCTATAATAATACCAACTCCCACAATTCTGCTCTAGCTCTTCCTGCTTTCCTTTCTCTGGCTCGTAATCAATTGCTAATTTAGTCATCGTCGCCAAAAGGAGATGAAAAAAAACGCACACACATAGATTCTTTAGGGATGATTCCACTTGCAACTGCTGCCTTGGATTTGTAAATATTTGCTTGGAAAATTGCTCTCAGGGGGTGACGTTCTGTTTGCTTTGCCCTGTTCTCTTTATTCGTTTTCCCTTCTCTCGTTTTTTTTTTTTCTGGCAGTTGTTGTTCTTCTGCTCTTTGGCATTGTTATTGTCAAATTGACGACAAAATGCGACACTTGCCATAAATTTATTGTTTGTTGTTGCTTAATGCCATTGTAAGTGGAGGCTTAATGACACGCAAGCAATTAGCAGATCGTTGAGTTTTAATCGCGTTGCTTTACAGGGGTTGCTAACCAGCGGCTTGACATGAGTAGCTCAATTTGCCTGTGTGTGTGTGGCTATGGATGACCCTAGGCAATGGCTAGAGCTAGTTACAGAAGCTGCAACTTATTTGGAATGCTAATTAAATGTAACAGAAATGAAAATCAAAGTAACTGAAAGCCATGATTTGAATTTCCTTTTTCTACAGGACACTACAAGTGTTTCTCAAGCTTGGAAAATGATTTCCATTTATTACAAAGCATTGTAAAGTAAAGAATATACGAAGGTAATAAAAAATATTGAAATTAATTCATTTAATACTGAGAAATTTTGAATCTAATAATGGGCTCAAAAAATAAATAAATAAGTAAAATGAAAATATAATTTAATTAATTAATTAATATATAAATAAAAAATGTTTAATTAAATACAAAATAAATAAACAAATTTAATTCAAAGGGTATACCCATACATAGTTACTTATTTATATATGATCATACGTAAATATATAAAAATAATACACACACACACAAAAGCCTTTGATATAAACAGAGTTGCCTGACTCTTTCATATTACTTTTCTACTGCTCCTTCTTCTTCATATCAAGTCTACTTCAAGTGCTTAATCTAGTTAGATAATTACTACAAAGTGAGATATTACTGGTACTTACGTATCGTTGGCAACGCTGCCAGCGCCAAAGCTGCCAAAGATGTGACTGCCAAAGGCTGCGGCGGCGGCCGCCGAATGGGGCAGCTGGGCCGCGTGGGGCGTGGTTGGCGTTGGTGTGGACGAGGCCGAGTTGTTGGACGAGGCGGCCATGCGTGAGCCCGTGGTGAGCGACATGGGGCCGCCCACCTCGATGGGCGAGTCCGTGTTGCGTGAGTTGGAGGGGCTGTTGGGCCCCAGGCCGGCGGCGAGGGGCGTGTGCTCGCGCATGCCAGGCGACGGCGAGCCGGCGCTGATCGAGCCCAGCGACTGCGAGGCGGAGTGCGGCGTGGCGGTCAGCTGGGCCGAGGACAGCGGTCGCTCGTTGTCGCTGGAGTCGAGATGATGGCCACCCGTGGGACTGCGCGAGTGCTGCTGCTCCATGGGTCCGTTAGTAAGAGGACTATGGGAGCGCTGCCGCGGCGGCAGATCATCCATATCATCATCGATCTCGCCGGTGATATCGGGCGAAGACTCACGCGAGTCATGGAGCTAGAAAGAGTGGAGGAAGGGAAGGGGAGATATGAGTACACTGAAGTTGTAGATATATATTTGCTCAATGCAATGCCCCAGAGAACTAATTTTACTCAAAGGTAAACAGGTAGCATTTACAGCTTTTGCCATCATTTAAATTGTACTCCCTGATCTTCTGCTCCCTGCGCTTACCTTCTCCAATGAGCTGCTGCTCTCGCCATTTTCCCTCTTGCGCTGCTCATCCTTGAGTCGTTCCGCTTTGCGCCATTTGGCGCGTCGATTCTGGAACCAGACCTGCCAATGACAAAGAGATTGTGGGTAAAGTTAGAAAATTGCTTTCGTACGGCTGAGTGCTGTTA